AAAGAAGTTCCTTAAAAAAAGGGTTTTTAGACTCTCTGTGTTTGATTTTCTTATTTATATACAGGATTGTGATGTTAAACTTTTGTATAAACGCAATATCACACTCGTAGCAGTGCGATATGGTTGTATATAAGCACTGGTTTGAGGCATGCCTTGGCACGAGGCAGTAGGTCGAGCGTCCCACCAGTGCTGATATACAGCCATATCGCACTACTACTCATGTGATATTGCTCATTTCACATGGTTTCCGCTACATTCATTTTGCCACGGCTACATTACAGCTTCTCATTCAAAACAATTAATTTTTTTAATAGCGGGTAATAATTGCTCCAAAACGTATTAAAAGTTAAGTGAATTATAACAGCGCAAACTTTTCTGTAACTGTAGTAGTGCTGTGCGTCATTTGTTTAACCCTTTAGGGTTACGTGCTGACTGACAGGTGCTTGATGCGTAAGGCCAACAAACACGACGTATTTACACGTTTACACTTTTACACGTTACACGTTTACACTTACACGTTTCACTTTACTTTAGGACGCATTAATATCGCACTGTAGGTCTATTAGAGACATTCATAAATATTTTTAGCAAATCTAATAAATCCTGGAGACATACTCGTTAAATAAATATATATATATTTGAGAGCGCACAAGAAGATCTGCGCACTCAAGTTCTGCTAAATTTCATTTTGGATGAAAATACTCAGTTATATTGGCGTTTTTGCAGCTGCTGCTATTAAAAACAACTATTTTCTCGAATCAGTATGAATGTAATTTAGATGTTCATCTGCCATGCCGTCACGTCATTTATCACAAACCCTTTCCTGTGGCATCATGGAATGGCAAAGTGTCCATAGCTTGTGCAATTCAGAATCTTGCCAGTAGCAGAAAGTCATCTGGGTATTTTTCCCACAAGTACCAGGATTTCTGAAATGTTAGACCTTTTTAAAAGGTACACTTTTAAAGTTTTAAGTAGGGATGTTGTGATTGATGTACTGTATATCGCATACTGTTTTTCATCTACGATAGATTAATGTAGTAAATAGTAGAAAAGTATGCAGTTTTGAATGCTTTCAGCCTCTTTACTTGAGCAGTTCCCCTTATACCTGCTCAGAATGACATATCAAAATATTCAATCTCAGGTCAAACTTTTATGTTTACCTTCATTCATTCATGTTTTGGCTTCGGTGCAGGTTTTACCAGGGCAGGCGGACAGAGGACGATGCTCGTCAAATCAGTCGCTGGTCCAAATGTGCAGGAGTCAAAGGCCGGTGGCGGAACAACCTCATCACGAAAGTGGTCCGGTCCGGTTGTGCTTACGACAACGTTACTGTTTCCCCAGTGGTCAGACAGACTCTACAGCACTGGGGGTACAAACTCACGCCGGAGGACTACAAGCAAGGAGCAAAGAGAGTCAAGCCCAAATAAACAGGTCTTATTTGTTTGAGTACAATGTGGAATTGGGGGATTTGAGCTGTTATTAGTGCATGACGTGTCTATTTTAATAATTGATGTTTTGTCTGACTGGGAGACTTGACTACTACTGCTGTGTTTGGTTCCCATTGGACATGTTTTGGGAAACTGAAAGGTCACTTCAATAATTCATAAATATCTTATTTTTAAATTGGGATCTCAGGCAGAAGCAGATGCAGACACTCCTTATTTTGTTCCTATTACTGATTTGCATAGCTGAACACCACATGTGCCTTGGAGCAATATAGCGAACTGATCTGTGATCGGATGTGGTCATCGTCACACTGATTTTATGACAGTAATTTGTTCTGCTGTGTTTATTTTTAATACATGGTGAAGATGCTTACATATTTGCATAATAAGATGCCTCCTGACATGTCTCTGACAGTGTGTGTGGGGGTGTATATACACACACACATCTGTAATATTTTAATGCAGTTTATTAAAGGGATTATTTTGTATCTTGTTCTTTTTCTTTATTTCTATTTACCCATAATAACACGTTCCTTTCTTTAATTATGTTATAGCATAATATCAGGGTGTTCGCAGGGTCTTAAAGTGTCTTAAATCTTAAAATCAAAGTTTTAGGCATTAAAAGGTCTTAAATTTATTAAAATATTGTGTTGTAGGTCTTAAATCTTTTTTTTGAACAGGTCTTAATTTTCCTTTGTTTATGTATTGCTACACCATCTGGCCATTGAAAACCATACAATCACCAACAATCTTTCTCAATAAATCCTGAATCTTTTTATGTAAAAAGGTCATTTTTAACTCTATTTACCAGAATGGTTTAATTATTTTCCTTACTATAACATTTTTGTAAAAGTGCTCCATGTATTTACTGCTGAGGGCATCGACCTGGAAGTATTGTTGTGCATACATTTATTTTATTATAATTTTTTTTTTTTAAAGAAAGTTTATGTTGGGGGGGGGGGGTGGTGGATGCAAGTAGAGTTTGCTTGTTTTTACACATTATTTAAAATATTTTGCTTAGAAATATCTAAATTATTTTTAAAAGTATTATAAAATTATTATTGTATTTTTAAATTAATTGCATTATAACTATATTTTTTTGATAGGGCAAATAAAAAATCTTTTCCATTTAGGCCATTTCCGTGACCTTTAGCACTTTATGAGTCTAAAATTTAATTCATACTGGTCTTAAAAATGTCTTAAAAGTTTTAAATTTAGGTTGGTGAAACCTGCTGAAATCCTGTATATAAACATTATGCAAGAGGTGTAAACACAACTTAGCTACAAATTCTTGATGTTTAATATTATTATTGGTTCTCACTTTCGGTAATATTAGATCACATTTCCAAAATGTGTGTAATAATATATAAAAATCAAAGGAAATAGGAAAAGATTAAAAAACTAAGCTGATATAATCATAGATTCTTCCTGACGATGGTGACGACTAACTCAATAAACACAAAATAAGAAATAAAATAAACAGAGTTTTTTTTTTTGTTTATTTACCTGCAGTATGTCAGTATTTTAAAGAATCCGTTTTTAAACATAGAAAAGTAACAATAAAATCTAGTAATACAACCATTTTATTATTTTATCACCATTGTCCACTTAAATATTGGTTGTAAAACTAGTAAAAAAAGAATAGTTAGTCATTTAAATTGCACTTAATTTCACAGAAACTGAAAGTAGCTCAATGAATTAAACATGAAATTTAACACTAAACTACTGAAATGGTATTTTACTGTAAAACATTCTTTAATACTTTTAATATTTTTAACATAATAATAATAATAATCATCACTATTTAATACAGTGGTTCTCAAACTGTGGTACATGTACCACTAGTGGCATGCAGGCTTCCTTCTAGTGGTATGTGGAGGAATAATAATGTCATATGTACATGCTACATATATTTCATAATTTATCAAAAATTATTTAAATATGAATATGATGACATATAGCTTATTTTTCCATGGTCAAGGCAACATTTCCAGGTGTTGATGAATTGGCTACTATATGTTAATACTTTACAATTAAGTACAGGAGTTTTTTTTTTTTTTTAACTTTTAAAAACATTTTAATTTCAAAGTTGTTGTTTCATTATTATTTGTATGTTTGTTTGTTTTTTACATATAAGCACAGTACAGTGTTAATGTTCAAACTATTTATAATGCTTAGGGTGACTAAAATAAATATTTTTAATATTAATAATTAATCTGTCACGTATTAGACTGTGCAGTGCTGTACTACTGCTTATTATAGTGGTACTTAAAGAGACAATTATTTTCTGAGGTGGTACTTGATGTAAAAAGTTTGAGAACCACTGATTTAATATGTTTAACATCATGATCAATGACGATCACTGTGAATATTTCTGTGGCCACTGGAAATCAGATTTAATAATTTGCAAACTGCTTGAGTTTATTTAGTGGCCTACATTTATAACAAAAAAGGTAGAAATTCAAAATAAAGTATAAATAAAACATAAAAGGGTATACACTGATAATTGCAACATAAAGGTTGAGTTTAATTCTTTAAGCATATCTAGTTTTGGTTGCTTTTCAATTTGAAGATCCTTAATGAGTTTTATTAGACACATTATTTGTTTTAGAAGTCCTCAGTGGTTAGCACTTTTGCCTCACAGCAAAAAGGTCACTGATTCGAGTCCCGACTGGGCCAGTTGGCATTTCTTTGTGGAGTTTGCATGTCCTCCCGGTGTTTGCATGGGTTTCCCATGTGTATGGGTGTTTCCCAGAACTGGGATGCAGCTGTAAGGGCATCCACTATGTAAATCATATGCTGGATAAGTTGGCGGTTCATTCCGCTGTGGTGACCCCTGGTGAATAAAGCGACTTAACCAAAGAAAAATTAATGAATGAATGAAATTGGCCATAGTGTATGTGTGTAAATAAGTGTGTATGGGTGTTTCCCAGAACAGAATTTGCTGCTGGAAGGGCATCTGCTGCGTAAAACATATGCCGGATAAGTTGGCGGCTGATTCCGCTGTGGCGACCCCTGGTGAATAAAAGGTCTAAGGAAAGGAGGCCGAAGGAAAAAGAATGAATGAAGACATAATGGTGTAAAACATTCCGCTTCCTCGTTTAAACGCTGGTCGGCGCCAGCACCTTTCGATCCTTTTCTTGATGTTTAATCAAACCACGCCGCTTACAAGCTTGTTTTTTCGTCATTTCCTACGTAAAACGGCGTAGAAGGCCTAAGCGACTGGTTTCAAAACGACAGCAACCAATAAAAGACTGCAATATTCAAACGTCATTTTATTGACACGAAATCGACCAATAGGAAGAAGGAATCTTTACGCCGGAAACCCCCACTCCAGCCAATGAACAGTTAGAGAAGGTAGCAGGTTGGGCTGTACGACGTTCCGCCCTTCTCCTCTTTGTGACCAACGCTGCGTGTGTTACTGGAGCGGATTAATAACTCGTATAAAAGGTATTTTGATGCTTGTTTTCTTTAATATCTTGTGCGGAATCATTATGTGTTTGTTCCTGATTGAATCTGTTGGTTTATGTAAGCTCGTGCTGCTCATTGCGTTGAGTGCGTCTCACCGGCTCACGTTCCGATTTGCAAAGCCACAAACGCTAATTACGCAAGTGGGACAATAAATAACGTAAAATAAAGCAAGTAAGTTACGCGGATTAATATAAGATATTCAGTTTTAACCGATGAAATATAAATATAAGAATAGGGTGTAGTAGAATAGTAGAAAATACCGTACGCTAACGTTACGTTAGCAGTGAATCAAACAATTGAAAACAAAGAGCCCAAATTTCACCCAAAAAACACGCTCATAATGACGAAAATCTATTACTGAACAATAAAGTTAATTTGCCATCAAATATACATTATTAGCACAGTAATGTTCGTATAAATGTATAACCTATACATCACCTTTTATTCATTCATTTATTTGTAATTATCCGGTCTTCCATTACTGTCTATTTCTAATATGTTTTCTATTAACGTTAACGTTAGCTTACATTTATTTTTGTGGATTTAAACAATTCTTCACTTTCTAGTCGATTTTCTTCACGTTTTTATATCTTCCATTTTCTCGATATAAAAATTACTCTAATCTTCTAACTTCAACAACCCGTTTAGTCTTTTGTAGATCTCCAATTTATTTACTATTATTATTTAAGATTGTTTTCTTCATAAGACGAAGACTCGGAGTCGGAATTATTTACTTATTTTTGATGTGTTGTTGCTTTTATATAAAAGTTAAATGAGCTGAGTAAATGTATTTATTAAAAAAGTCAATAATAGAAAATTAATTTGGCATCAAATATGCAATATTAGTAAATTAATAGTCGTATAAATATACACACATCGCCTTCTGATTCATTGTTTATTTAAAAAATACCGAGCCTCGATTACTCTCTGTTTCTAATATTTGTTCTATAAAATACTTTTTCTTTTTTTCTTTTTTTTCTTCCCAACACTTTTTTTCACAAATATCTTCTATTTTCCCCGATATAAAAAATACTTTGATCTTCTAAAATTAAAAACCTGTTTAGTCTTTTGTAGATCTAAGTTACTCCAGTTTTTTTATTGTGTAAGTTACTGCATTAGACGAAGACTCAGAAATATTTACTTAATTTTGTTGTGTTGTTGCTTTGGATAAAATTCAAATGAGCTGAGTAAATAAATTTATGGGGAAAAAAAGTCAATTAAAGAACGTTAAGTTGGCATCAATTATGCAATAAAATTAAATTAATTGTTGTATAAACATTTATACATCACCTTCTATTCTCTAATTTGTTTAAAAATGTCCTCCATTAGTCTAATATATTTTCTATTCTGTCATTTGTTTTTGTTAATTTAAACAAATATTCTCTTTCCAGTCCATTTTTTTTCTGTCTTTCCAACACCATTTTATAAAAGAACTTCCTTTTTTTTTCTCTAAAAAAATGCCTTGATCTTCTAACATGAACAGTCCAATTAGTGTTTTGTAGTTCTACTGTTTTTTATTTTATTCTTTATTTGTATACTTGGATGATGACTCACAATAATTTACTTATTGTTGTGTTGTTTTGGATAAAAGTTAAATGAGCTAAGTGAGTAAATGTATTTAATGAAAAAAGTCTACTACTATGCATTAATTTGGCGTCAAATATGCATTATTAGTAAATTAATAGTCATAAATATATGTACATACATCTCCTTTTATTTTATTATTTACTTTAAAATACCTGGGGCCTGTTTCAGAAAGGAGGTTAAGTGAAAACTCAGAGTATTTCAACCCTGAAATGAGAGAAACTCTGGGTTTTCCGTTTCAAAATGGCAGGTTTGTTAAACTCGAGAAAGCAGGGTAAGTCAAGCCTGTTACTGAAAGAAAGGTAACTTTAACTCAGAGTCAGTTACTGTGGTAACTTACTCTGTGAATCTAACTTGGTCAGAAGCAGGTTTTATTCTCTAAACTCTGAGTTTCTGTCGGTCTCCTCCCTTTTTTTTAAAGATGAAGCGGTATTTCTCGCCTTAGCCTTACGTTTCCACCCACCTATTTTAATGCTCATTTTGGATACGTGCAAAAAACGATTGATAGAAACGTCATGATGCACATAACTTTTTAAAATATGTATAAAAAAACGCGCATAACTGAGTAGGATAAACTTTTATTCAATAGAAAATGTGCGCATAAACTACGATGGAAACACTTTTACTGAACAAATTACAGTATGTACATTAAAAAAAAGATCATGATCATATGATAATGAAAATGTGTGTGAATGGACAAACAGCAGGCTGAGCACACTGTAACATGTCTTAAATATTGTCTTAGTCATTCTAAAATGCCTTAACTGTTTCAGTATTAGTGTATATTATTAATTACCTCCTGGTGCGTCTGGTGCGTGTCAAGAGTCTCCGCGTCTCATGGCTTCAGACGCCTCCACGTGTTTATTGTGTTTCAGCATTGTCTTCTGACATCGAGGCGCAAGTACATTAATTAGGCTAAATAAAGAATTAATTGACGCAGCTTCTTCTACCACAGCAAATTCTGTTTTTACTGTTGATATTTGGTGCCAGTTTAATCAGGAAGTGACGATTTTTTTCTCTTTGACTCGTTGGATGGAATTTTATTCGCATCTTCTATGCAATATTCCAGTTTTGCACATAAATTTATGTAATATATTTAGATGGAAAATAGCTATTGCCTACATTTTTGTCACACACAGAAGAACTGTACTAGAATGGCTTATGCTTTTTTAATAAATAATTAAATTGAATTCACCTTCGATATGCACTGTAACTAGATTAATGGGATTATTATTCTTTCTAAAAATTATTTTTAGTACTGCTTACCTTCTAAATGTTATATTAACCTCTATCACTTGATCAATAAAAAAGGCAGACACATAAGTGCACTGTTAAATCATTTAAAACTAATAAATGTGTAAAAAAGTTTAGAAAAAAATATTAACGTCACAAATTATTACTTATTTTATTATACTTAAATATTTAAATACTTAAAAAGTGAAATTAGGCATTGACTTGAGCCGCTGTTTTCCCACGCTAATTGTCTCTTCTTCACTGATGGTTGCTTCTTTTCAAATATATACACTCATATTTGCTATAACTTTGCATGAGAACATCAAGTTCAGCTGGAGAAATAAATGGTGATCTCTTTTATAAGATATTGCCATAGTCACTCGTAATGTCTGGGCTCCATTGATAATGCCTTTTTATAGTCACGGTGTGCGCGCTTAACTCTGAGTTGGTCTACTCGAAGTTGATTGACCCAACTCAGATCAGCTGTTCTGAAACCGAAAACTCAGAGTTTTTAATCTCTCGGTAAATCAACTCAGAGTTCAAGTTTAAACTCTGAGTTGTTTGAACCTCCTTACTGAAACAGGCCCCTGGTCATTGATTAGTCTAATATATTTTCTTTTTTGTCATTTATTTTTGTTTATTTAAAACAATAGTTAGCTTTCTAATCAATTTTTCTTTTCTGTCTTTCCAACACCATTTTATAAATGTCTACTTTGATCTTCTAAAATTAACGACCCGTTTAGTCTTTTGTAGATTTACTGTTTAATTTATTATTTTTATTTTGGTTTGAATTATTAGAGGTGTTATTAACCAATTTAGAATTTTTTTTTGTCAAGTTTTTCCAAATTGTCTTCTTAAAATCTTTTATTGACTATCCGTGTTTTTAAAAAGATGCAAGGAAACAGAGGACCCCGTTCAGAGCAGCAAAATCACGGCCCACAGCGACAGCAGCCCAACCCCCAACAGGAGCAGCAGAGGAAGCCCACTGGAGCCGACAGCAATGGACAACACACCGATGCTGGAGAGCAGAGCAGCCCTAGTAAGTGAAACTCATGGATTTACACCACCATTAAACTTTATATTGAATTGAGTGATGTTGACTGACTGACTGTTTTCTGTCCTGCAGATGCTGGTTTCACTATAGACCTGCAGAACTTCAAGAAGCCTGGTGAGAAGACCTACACGCAGAGAAGCCGGCTGTTTGTGGGCAACCTACCTGCCGGAACCACAGAGGAAGATGTGGAGAAGCTTTTCTCCAAGTATGGCAAGGCTTCGGAGATTTTTATCAACAAGGATCGAGGCTTTGGCTTCATCAGGCTGGTGAGTTTGGTTAGACGTCACCATGAAATAAAGTGTGATGGCAAAATTATGCTTGACAGTTTGTTGATAGACTGTTTTTGTAAGGTGAAAGAATAGCATGCGTAAAATACTTCTAGTAATGCTACTAATGTTGGCACAATACTGGAACATCCATTTCCCGCTAACATTTAAACACTGTTAGCGGGAAATTTCAGTAGCAAAATTGCAGTAACGTTGCAACTCTTAATTCTACTACATCTAATAGCACTAAAAACGCAGAAAGTTTTTTGGTTTTATTCATTTTAATAATGCCGCATGTGGTGGCTAAACCTTCCGAAAATAATTGGATTGGCTCCAACCAATGCTGCTTGCTCATTATTCCTGCCTACTGCTAAAAAAAACAACCAACTGTAGATTCAAAATACTTATATTAATGCAACGTGTTGACAATACTGGATTTTCGGTGCCAATTGGTACTGTGATTTTTAAAAAAAGTGTCCGTTTTAGCATTGCTTAAATGTTAGCGGGAAATGAAAGGTTTTAAAATTTCAGTTCCAAAACCCCAGTATTGTTTTTAATATCTCAGTAGTTTTTGGTACTGAAATTGCAGTAATGTCACAATACTAAATTCTACAATGTCTATAAACACAAAATGTGCAATATATTTTTTGGTTTTATTCATTTTAATTTTGCTGTATGTGGTTGCTAAACCTAAAACATAACCGTATTGACTCAAACCAATGCTGCTTTCTCATTCCTGCCTACTACTAAAAAAACATCCAACTGTAGATTCACTTTAGTTTTGGTTTCATGGCAAAAACACAAATCAATTACATATTTATTTTTTTGTGGCAAGAGCCCACTCAGTGTTTGTCCTGGACAATTCCTTTTACTGTAATGCACATTCTACTGGACAGTCCTGCTTTTAATAACTATAGAAGGCTTTTTTATGAAATATCTCTAAGAACGTCTTTAGCAAAGTGTCACCAGGAAAAATGTTAGAATTTTTATTATAAAATAAAGTAATAAGAAATAAAGTGTGATCGCAATATTATGTTTGACAGTTCATTGACTGGCAGTGTTTGTAAGGTAATGTAATTTCATATGTAAAATATTTCTATTCCTGCTACAAGTGTTGGCATAATACGGGAGTTCCTGTACCAATCGGTACTGTAATAAAAAAAAAAGAGTAAATTTTATTAATGCTTTAATGTTCGCGAGTACTGGACCGCTTTAACACTTCAGTACAGAAAGTTCAGTATTGTGACAGTAGAATTTAGTGTTTCATTTATGTCCAAAAACACACGATGCACAGAAAAGATTTTTGGGTTTATTATTTTTAATTATGCTCTATGTGATTACTGAAACCAAAAAATAATCGTAAAGGCACAAGTTGATTAAGTGATTTGTTTATGATAATAGAGAGTACTTTTTAAGAATATCACCTGACAATTAAAAACGGTTGTAATTGTTATCATTGTACCATACTTTTCAATGTTCTCAGACTACAAGACTAATGCAACATTAAGGCTGATTTATACTTCTGCGTCAAACACCGGCGTATGCTACGGCGCTGACGCATAGCCCATCGCCGTGGCCGTCGCCGTCACTGATGTGCACCTCTCAAAAATTGTAACTACACGTCGCAACAACGCGTAGCGCAAGCTCTGTGATTGGTCGGCTTGCTAGCGCCGACGAGTCTGGGCGGGACCGAGAGCCGCGCGAATGGCGCGAGCGATTGTTTACAAGTGTGGAGTCCCGTGAAGGAGCTCCGGATGGAAAGTTTTGTTCTTTGTTTACCTCATGGTTAAAGTTGTTGCACGTCCGCTGGTTCCTGCCTCAAAATGAGCGAGTTTGAGTCACTTGTACATCCAGGAAGTGTTCAGAATAGCAAAACAGAAGCGAAGAAACTCGACACAGAGGAACATTTACACCTCACTGCCCACTAGCGTTTCGGAAGTGTTAATGCAGACCAACGGAGACAGCGCGCAGAAGTATAAATGCCCAGCCACGCGCGTTGCCTGCGCCGTGAGTTGCGCCGGTCACTTGACGCAGAAGTATAAACCAGGCTTTAACCCTGACTTGCTGTTCTCTCATTATTAGGAAACGAAGACGCTTGCGGACATCGCAAAAGCTGAACTGGATGACACCATATTCCGAGGACGGCAGATTCGTGTGCGATTTGCCACCCATGGTGCTGCGCTGACGGTTAAAAACCTGCCTCAGTTTGTGTCCAATGAGCTTCTGGAGGAGGCCTTCTCCATGTTTGGTCCCATCGAACGTGCCATAGTCATTGTTGATGACCGTGGCAGGCCAACTGGGAAGGGAATTGTGGAGTTTGCTAACAAGCCATCTGCCAGGAAAGCTCTGGACCGGTGCGGAGATGGAGCTTTTCTTCTTACTGCGTAAGTATTTATGTTTCTGCTTATATGTAATGTTCTGTTCCTTTTGTGATAATAATAGATGGTTAATTAAGCTTGATTATTCCTCTTAAACTCAGATTCCCCCGGCCTGTTACCATTGAGCCAATGGAGCAGCTTGATGAGGAAGAGGGGCTTCCTGAGAGACTCATTAACAAAAACCCAGTATATCACAAGTAAGTTGATGTACTTTTTTGCTAGTGTGCCATTAGAATTTTGATTCATGGAAAAAAAAAAAACTGTAAATATTTATTATGGATGGACCAACATGAAAATTCTGCATGCTTTGTTGTAATTATTTATTAACTTGTGAAACAATATAAAGTTATTTTCTTATAGACTTATTTACAGAAAAATTTGAATGTCAATTGAGAGGTTTTAACAGTGTTTTTACCACAGTAACAGTGCTATAAGCAACAGGAAAAAGTATATTTCACGGGAACTTCCTGTCAATATGTCATTTGGGTGGAGTTTGCTTTACCAATAAGCATGTGCTCTTCATGCATAGAAAAGAATACATGTACACGAGCGTAATATCCACTGAGCAGAATATTTAAACTTTAAGCACAGCACATGCGGTGTGCTCTGATGCGCTTGTGTTTTAATCGGCACATACACAATCTGCCCTTGTGCAATGGAAATCTTTAAAGTGAATGCGTTTCATTGCGCAGAGCTTTCAGCACACGATGTAACTGTACAATATCAAGTCAATTCACAATATCAAATAATCCTAATCCCACTTTTTACATTACATGTGAACAAGTAACAAAATAAATAGAGGTTATCAAAATAATGTGATTAAAAAAACATTTTACAAGAGATTAGAAAGCATGATGCACCAGTGTTTCAGTCTAGTCCAAAGCCAGATACAGTTCCTAATAAAATGCTATGGCAATGAAGTCTTGGACATTCTGTTTGTTTGTTTGTTTGTTTGTTTGTTTGCTTTATTTATAGAGCACATTTAAAAACAACAGATGTTGACCAAAGTGCTTTACAAAACGACCAGCATACAAAATCTATACCTATATATAAAAAATTTGCAAAATATATAAAACAGATTAAAATTAATTACAATCAAAGGCAAGAGACAGAATGTGATTTTTTTAGATGAGACTTAAAAGCAGTGAAGAACATGACCGGATCTGTAAAGGCAGATCATTCCACAGTCGGGGGGCTGCAGCAGAAAAAGCCCTGTCACCTCTTGATTTCAACCGCGTTTTGGGGACAACTAGCTGAAATGTGTTTTCAGACCTGATTGGCCTCAATGAAGTGTGCCAGTGAAGAAGCTCAGAAATGTAAGTCGGTGCCAGACCATTCAAACTTTTAAAAACTAGAAGCAATAATTTTTATTGAATTCTAAATTGGACTGGGAGCCAGTGAAGAGACAATAAAACTGGTGAGATACTAGAGAATTTTTTTGTCCCAGTTAAATGCCTAGCAGCTGCATTTTGAACCAGCTGCAGGCGTGCTATTGATGCCTGTGAAACTCCAGAATACAAAGAGTTACAGTAGTCCAGTCTTGACATAATAAAAACATTAATGACAGTTTCCAGCTCTTTAAAAGAAAGAAAAGGCTTCAATTTGGCAATGTTCCTTAATTGATAGAAACCACTTTTGACGACTGAGTTTATTTGCTTGTCAAACTTTAACTAAGTGTCAAAAGTAACTCCAAGATTTTTTACGTGACTGTGGACCTTAGGCTTGATCGAACCTAAATTATTAATTGTAGATTCACAGACACTCAGAGGACCAAACACTACTACTTCAGTTTTTGATTCATTCAAGTGTAAGAAATTACCAGCCAGCCATTCCTTAATCTCGTTAAAACAGGTGAAAAAGGACTGTAAAACAGAATTTTCTCCCATTTTTATAGGCAAGTAAAGCTGAGTATCATCAGCATAAAGGTGGTAGCTTACATTATGCTTCTTACAAATTGCCGCCAAGGGAAGCATGTAGAAAGAGAAAAGAGCTGCGCCCAAAATTGAACCTTGGGGGACACCACACTCCAAACATGCAGATGAGGAAGAAAAGTTACCCAATTCAATAGAAAAGGTCCTCCCTGAAAGATAAGAACTAAACCAATTTAAAACATTTCCTTGAATCCCAGCCCACAATCTTAAACGCTCAATCAAGATATTGTGATGTATTGTTTCAAATGCCGCAGTCAGGTCTAGTAAAATTAGAAGTGCGCATTTTCCAGAATCAACCGTCAGAAAAATATCATTAGACACTTTTAGGAGAGCTGTCTCAGTGCTATGCCGTGTCCTAAAACCAGATTGAAATTAGTCAAGAATGTCATTTCCAATTAAGTGACTAGAAAGCTGTTGAAAGACAACTCTCTCCAAGATTTTAGACTGAAAAGACAATTTTGAAATTGGTTGATAGTTTTTTAAAACTGATGAATCCAGATTGGGTTTTTTTAAAAGGGGTTGTACTACAGCATGCTTAAAACAAGAAGGTACGACTCCACTCAGCAAACTAGAATTCACTATTGATAGAAGGTCTAATCCAACCACCTCCAATACCTGAATGAAAAGATGTGGAGGGATAATATCCAGTGAACAATGGGAGGGCTTCATATGGAGGACTAAGTCCACCAAATCATGTAACGTGATTGGTTTAAATTCATCCAAAAAGTGTGCTAGTGAAGGTGGGATGGTACTGTCAAGGAAAGCGTCTTGAAGCAGAATCCCAGCTCTAAGGGCTTCAATTTTACTAATAAAAAACTGTAAAAACTTTTCGCATGTTGTCTGGCAAATAGCAAGACCAGACGTAGTCTCAGTGTTTAAGGCTAAGTTAATTGTTTTAAAAAGAACTCTAGGGTTATTAGGAGCCTTTTTTATGAGATTAGCAAAGTATTCTGCTTTTGCGGCTTTAACTGCCTTCTGATATTTAATCATAGAGTCTTTTAAAATTTCATAATGCACCTGCAGTTTAGTTTTCTTCCATATTCTCTCCGCTTTTCTCCATAGCTGACGAATGCTACGGGTATCACCATTTAGCCACGGTTGTTGTTTGGCTTTAGGTTTTAAAATTTTCAAAGGAGCACACAGCTCCATGATTTCATTACAAGTGGAATTAAATAGTGACATTGACTCATTTATTTCCAACCCAAAAGGCAGAGATGGAAGTAGTGAATAAGCCTTCGTAAAATCACTGGCCGTTGAAGGATTCTGATGGTAGATAACAAAAAAATGTACAGTAAATGCACTTTCAGGTGATTTGATACAAAAGAATCCAAGAAATGTTGAAAAACATAGAAGTTTGAATGTGCATGAAGAGCTAGATCAGTACAATTTGGTTCTTTTTTTTTTTTTTGTGGTTCTAGAGAAACCATTTTCGTCATCTGCTGTTTGAGAGCTGCATGAAAGGGTTTAGCTTTAGGAAGCTGATACTGTTAATTATTTAAATTTAAAAAAAGCTTGATTAACCTATGAAACGTTGCTTAAATTGCCCTGGTACGCTTGTAATTATGTATTGCTATATATTAGAAAATATTAATATTATTATAACTACTACAACTTCAAGTTTTGTATATGTTATGACATTGTTTGCTAGTGCATTTGTTTAATTTGTTAGTGCAGCCTTTATCAAATAAATTAATACAATTGGGAAAAATTTGCTCAAGTATTTACTTACAAAATCATTTATTACATTATGATTAAATAACAAATAAAGGTCCAGTTTGTTCTCATTGTACATTATTCTGCATATTAGACGGTTATGTAAACACAGTAACCTGTCTTATTCTGTCCATTAGAGAGCGTGAGCAGCCTCCCCGCTTCGCCCAACCAGGCTCATTTGAGTACGAGTATGCAATGCGCTGGAAGGCCTTAATGGAAATGGAAAAGCAGCAGTACGAACAGGTCGACCGAAACATAAAAGAGGCTAAAGAGAAGCTGGAGACTGAACTGGAAGCTGCACGGCATGAACACCAAGTCATGCTAATGCGACAAGGTGAGTTCTCACTCATTAAAATCTGCTTATGTTTATTTTGCTAGTGCACAATGTTAGTCATAAAGTGAACAATAAATCCCTGCAAAATAATTTACTGAGAGCAGAAAGCTTGATCTTTTCCTTGATTAATCTCTAATCAAAATCTAATCATTTGCTTCTGGAAGTCCTCCTCTGATGTCAATTTGAAGGCTTTGGTGAGATGCTTAGCCACGCCCCTCCAACTCCTAATTAACTGCGGGTGAAAGATGAACCAGCCCCTTACTTTAGCATCAGTTAGAAATGTCAACATACTGAAGTATACACCTGTTGCAACTTCTCACCAGTTCATGTAAATTAATGTTCATTGAAAAGTTTTTCCCAATTTGTTTGTTAGCTGTACCACTTTAACAGTAATTTGTAACCCTTTAACCCCTGAATCTATAACTAATATTTTATTAATGACAGATTTGTATGGTCATGGTTTACCGATGTTGGGTTAAAGATCACATGACGTGTGTTTTTAATCAAATAAATCTTTTTTTTTTTCCATTATAAATTAATTGTTTCATTTTAATGTTTACCTTTTTGTAATATAACTTTGCCAGTTTCTAATTTTCCTCACAAATCCACAAACTTTTCTCAGTTTTATGTACTATGATTTAAAGCATGCCCACAAAACCAATGCTCTTAAACGCCACACATCTCTTAAAATAATCAAATCACTCTTTTCCAAACTATATAATTGTCTGTTGAATGTAGATCCAGTCAAAAAGCAAATGCACAGCATTCAATCAAATTTGTTTCTCTCACTCTCTGCTTCAGATCTCCTGCGCAGACAGGAAGAGTTGAGGAGAATGGAGGAGGCTCACAGCCAGGAGGTGCAGAAACGCAAACAGATGGAGCTGCGTCAGGAGGAGGAGCGGCGGAGGAGGGAGGAGGAGCTCCGGGCCCATTCTGAGGAGCTGATGAGGAGACAGCAGGGCCAGGGAGGCAACTTCTCTGAGAAGGTGAGTCTGAATTTGTTGATCTTTTAAAAAATAAATAAATAAAAATCACTTCTTTCCCCCCCCCCCTAATTTTATGCAGCTCTATGAAGCTCTGCCTTGTGATAAAAATCTTTCTGCATTTTGTTTTCTAAGCCACTAAGTGGTGCTATAATAGTACTTTTACAGGTTATGAGGTCAATGTAGTAGTCAACTGTGTTAGAAATAAAAAGAATACTGATTTAATAAGGTTTTTGAACTTTTCATTAGATTATTTGTTTGATGGTTGGACTAAAATGTTTAGAAAAGATCTGCAAATGACACAAATGCATTATAGGTTTTTTATTTGTTATATAATGTCATCCTTATACACAATTTATTTTATAAAGCTTGCATTTAAATAACAAAGATTGTAGTATATCAGGGCCTTTATTCAGTTATTTTGTGCTTTGTTTGAGGGTTAAAAATTTTTGAAAAGTTTGATGTAATAAACTATTTGTTTTTGTTTTTTTCAGAGAGATCCTGATATGAGGATGCATATGGGAGGTAAGAAAGGGACTCAACTTGCCATTAGTGGCATTGACTTTGTTTGTCTGTCATTTTTCTCTCCATGATTGGTCTTCTGTTCATGTTTGTAATATATTACACTGTTCAAAAGTTTAACAGTGCACAAAAAGAAAAATCCTCATCGTTCGAAGTCCCTGTTTAAAATGTTTAGTGATGATTTTCTGCCTAAAAATTGCTTTCCCCCCCTTTTTTTGAACATTTCTGAAAAGTTTTACCTTAATTCCAATGGGTTATATGCACAGCTAGTGTTTTTCAGCTAATGATGAACTTCCGGTGGAAAGTTTATGTGACTATTCTCAATGTCATGACTTTTTATTTACATCATCGATGTTGTAATGCAAGTAAAATATAATCAGTTAAATAGACTTGAGAATCCATTTGGTTGTTGAGGCGTAAAAAGAGATGAAAGATTGTTGAAACGCAGGTGTTGTCATTAGCCGCAGGCTAGTGCAGAAACTCCATTGAAAATACTAGGATAAAATTAAGTTCCATATTTTAAAGACGTGCCATGGAAAAATGTCATTTAATGCAGTGCTTCTTGCTCCATCTGATACCCACTTTATATGGTATCTCAGCCAGGCAGGAAAGATCGCAGTTTTTTTTTTTTTTTTTTTTTTTTTTTTTGTATGTGATGACAATTCATCAGAAGCCCTGGGGCTGGCCGACTGTAATTGAAAGTCTGTGTGCATTATGGATTTAAAAGAATCTTTTCCCAGTAATTGTTTATAGGCAGCCCCATTACTTGAACAGTAATTTTACACGCTTAAATTACTAACAGAGCACAATTTAGAGATCTAATGAACAATTAAAGATATAATAACACTCAAATGTTCGCAAACATGTGAATTGCACACAACAGTTTTTACTTTAATCCCAGATTTTAAACTTTTCTTCAAGTAGGTGTCTAAATATACACTGTTGTATTCCTAACTTGTTTTCATGACACAATCTGTGTTTTCTTTCATGGTGGGGTGACAGGTCAGGGAATGGGCATGAACAGGAACCCGATGGGTGGAAATGCCTCAAACACAGGCTCTACCAACTTGACTTCTAATGAGGTACTAATTTCTCCACATACACTTCGAAGACTGTATGTGTAGAGTATGCATGCGTGTAAGCATATTTCTCTGTCTCTCTTTCAGCAGGGAGCTTCTGGTAATCCAGGTGGTCTTCCTCTTCCCTTCCCTCGTCCTGGACCTAATGATTTTGGCGCCAACAAACGCCGCAGATTCTGAGACCACCGGCCAAACATCTTTAGTTTTTTTCCTTCTTTTTTTTTTTTTTTAATTTTTTTTACATACTGTAAAATATTTTAAGTGCAAATTGTGGTTTTGTAGAGCCTGAGATGAATTTGTGTATTCAAATCTTTTAATCAGGTTTAAGTTTTAAGTTCCTCTGATCTCCCATCCCCTTTAACATCTGAAGAGATGTTTCCAGAAACTAATTGAGCCCAGTTCTGGGGGAAAAACCCTCACGGTTATGATTTATTACTATAGAGAGTCTTCATCTGTGAACAGGGATTTACTTGTGCTTGGAAACAGCTCCAGGGTGGATATTTCAGCATTGTATAGCCCTATTTTTGTCATTTTTATTAATTTTCTCTCTTTTGTATTTCACCCAGCAGTGACTTTTTCTAAAGTAGAAATTAGCTATTGTCCGTCTCTTGTCCTCTGCAATGCTTGCCTTTCTAGACAACTTTAAATAAATTCATAACTACATGTTACACACAGTCAAGTGTTGCTCGTGGTGTTCTTGGATTGAAATTCATTATTTGGCTTTTTTTTAAAAGCTGTTGCAAGGAAGAAAATTCTTCATCCCAAAGTCAATGAGGTTTTTTTAATGGGATTTCAGTTAAATCACTTAAATAGGTTTTGCGGCTAAACAAACATACTTTAATGTTTTATTCTATGACATAAAATGCATCAGTTACATCACACACTCTGTTTCTTTTTATTTTCTTTTATTATTATTTTTTTTTTCTTTATAGGGTACGCTTCTTTAAAAAAATGTTTGCTAAATGGGACTACAGGCAGTGTCGGAAATGTACGAGCTAAACTGGTCTGGAGCTGACAGTCATTGAGCTTAACTGGTCTGGAAAGCACATTTACAGCATGCGTTGGGCATTTTAAATAATCTGTTAGTTATTTGTTTTCATAAACAATATTTTATAGTTGGTAGTATTTTTCTAATTGCTGATTCATATAATGTTTAGATAATGACTTGTAGAGACCGTCATGACAGTTTCATTAGGGTTGGGGAGGGTATCGTTTATTTTAATAAAGCTGTTTTATGAAGATATTGCTTACCATAGGGCACACTGTTTCTTTCCTGCTTTCAGTAATGCAGATGTGTGAATAAATTAGTCAATTTAAGAATATTTACTGGCATTTTTTACGTGATTCTTTTACATTAACATCTAATGATTTTTTCGTCATTATTTTCTTTATCTAAACTGAGTTGTAACCATAACTGCAATATTTATACTCCTCAAACTCCTTTACACTTCCCTTAAAATTTGTAACTTTATTGTTACAGCACTTTGATTTTTTTTAAACACTGTTTAGTCATCTAATGTATCTCCATTTTGTGTATTAATACAAATAAAATCCGAGCAGGTTTAAATAATTAAAATGATCATTGTGATTCCACAAGCAAATATCATGGTTTTTGATGACTTCAATGTTTGATATTGGGCCGCTTCTCTCTCATTTTTATTTTTTCATGCCATAACCCTGTTTCAAGATTTCAGATTTTCTTGTAGGTTTTCAAAGCCAGCCACTGAGCTCCTAACTAATAATTTCATCTCCAAGTCCTTACAGGTTACAGAGAATCAGTCGTCTGGCCAAGGCAGCAGGCACGTGCACAAATAGGGCTCAACCTGTGCAGTGCACATGCCCTTTTTAGTCTTGGATAGAAAGTGCCCTTCCAAAATGATATGAAGTGCCCCTGCGACAACTTTTAAATATCTTTTGTGTTCAACAGAAAAAAAAAAACACTTTTGCAACAAGAGTAGAGACATTTTTTTTATTTTGTTAGTGTGAACTTTTCCTTTAAAGCACAGCTGTCAAACTCAGTTCCTGGAGGGCCACAGCTCTGCACAGTTTAGTTTCAGCCCTAATTAAACACACCTAATCAAAATAATTGAGTTTGATGCCTACAGATGAGCTTTGAAGCAGGGCTGGAACTAGACTGCAGGGTTGCGGCCCTCCAGGAACTGAGTTTGACACCCCTGCTTTAAAGGCATGGTCGAACAGCATTTACTTTGTTGATGGTTTTTGGTACCCATGCTCTCAGTGGATAATGGCATCAAATTATTCACTAGAAAACGACTAAAAATACAGAGCAAGCACACCAATTTTAATTGTTTTGTTTGTTTCCAGCAACAATGTTAATTAAAACATTAAGCTTTTTCTTTTATAAAATGAACTAAATAATCATGGGGATTGATATTGTTGAATTTTCAAACTTTGAAATGTTTCTATTGCTGCTACAGCTCATTGTGTTCCTTCATTTACATTAGAGAACATGTTTTTCTTAAATTATTCAGAAAAAAATTCTGTACCTGAACTTAAAACATATTTTTAAACTGAATGAGATAAAAATTTTGCATTGTGTACACTGGACAAACCTAAAGCACCTTCCTCATGTAGATCCTGCTTGAAATCGCTGTAATTCCACCCCAGCCACTCATGCATGTTTTGGTCTTGTATAAAGCTTAACTGCTTTTGGGACACTTTTTTTAAAAACTATATCTGTTTTTTTGGGTATCTATATCCCTTGTTAACTGATTGCCATTTTTTTATTTTTCCCATGTCATAATCTTACAAAGATTACACCTGGCCAAACGACTAATTGCTTGGGTGGAAGGATCAGAAACCTCAAGCCCAACACAGTGGATCCGTGATATCCTCTTCTTCCTAAAGTAGGAAAAATTAGACTGTCTAAAAGTTCATCTAACCTTTTAGGTTAAAGAACATTTGGGACCCATTTAGGTAATATATCCAAGAAGATGTTTTATTGCCAAATATAGACCAAGTCCTTGTTCTAGCAAATTGATCACAATTGATAAGTTCAGAGTGTATTGTGTGATACAGATTGTACAATTGTAGTTTTTGTTAAGCCACATTATTATTGACCTTTTTATTGGTATTTTTTTATAAATGCTTTTTAAAACAATTGTTTTTGTCTTTTTAACTGTAATTTTTAAATAAACGTATAACACCTGAATGACAGTAAAGATAGATGTGGGGGATTAGAGTTGTAAAGGGTGAAATTCAATGATGAATATCCCTTTTCCAGATTTTGAGCTTATTTCAATGCTTGCTGTTTTTTCATTATTAAATCTATTGGCTAAACACTTCAGCATGATCATTTTAAAGATAATCTGTCTCCTTTAAGCTTCATGCCCATTAATGCCTACTAAATTACCCGTAAATAAACACATACTTACTGTCTACTTAAGCATTTTAAACTGTAATCATTCATTATTTTAGGGAAAACATACACAAAAAGTATTTAATTGTCTCTGTTGTCATTGCAAACTCAGTGACAGAAGGACATTATGAGATTTGTTTGTAGATGTTGACATTGAGATCAGGAAGCGTCTTGCTCGATTCGAGTGTACCGTAAGTGTAGGCGTGATCCTAATTCTTTAGTCGACCCTGCAGCGACGGCTGGACCAGATAAAACTGAATTAAGTTTTTTAATTCGACGACTTTTATAAAACGAAATGGCAGGTAAGAAGAACTAATCTGTGTGAGTTAGGACAGAGAGAAAGTTACTTGTAACTTCATTCAGATTGAACGTTTTTGAAAATCCTTAGAGCAATGTGGCGACAAGTGAAAGTAAAGGAAGTCCGTTACTTATACAAGTAGTGGTTTACTCTTAATTAGCCTTTCAGAAATGTATGGAAACTTTACAGCAGCGTGTGAATCAAATTATCATTACATTAATTAATTGGTAAGCTTAAGGTTTCTTCATGGATATATACAGCCCCTCTCCTGCTTTTCACTTTTACAGCCCACTCCTGCTCTCATTCTGACTAGTAAGGTAACTCCATTCTGACAGAGGGAGCGTTTCGTTTGTGAGTGAATCTCCGTTACGAACGACGTCCTTCACTAGCCGACAATAATTCAAGTTAGCACCACAGCATCTCGTTTTCATATTTCTTTTGCATTGTTTGCTGATTTTATTCAACAAAACTAGCATAAGCCGAGTGTTTAGTGTGAGTTAGTGCTTTTGCCTTATGGTGAATGCAGTAAGTGTCATTATCATTATCAGTAACTTTATCTGTTTAACACAAAAGTTCATGACACACAAAAACGTAAAAAGACAAAAAAACAACTTACCTTTGAAATGTTCTACACCCGTAGACAGCGCTAAAGTCAAGCATCTTCACGTATTAGCACTGTCTTGACTAGTGCGGTTGAATGACACTTGTCCTATGAGCACTGTACAAATATGGCGGCGCTAGTGACGCATGCTCAGGGTCCCCATGCGATATCTAGTGTTTATATCTATGAGGTTTCATTAGTTAGTCTAATGGTTTACTCACCTGAAGTAACCTAGTAATGGTAGTTCAACATTAATAGGCTAATAATAACGCATTATAAAATCTAAATTCTTGGCAAATTAGTTGTTGCACTGTGAGTTAAAGTTAACATGAACGTTAAGAACGAACAACTTTATTTCCATTGTCAAAATCACGCTAACAAAGACAAATAAATATTGCAATAAATGTGTTGTTCGATGTTTGTCAATGTTACTAATTACATACATCCTTTAATATGTACCCAACTGTCTTACGAACTTTCAGATCAACTTTTGGAAAACCTTCGCCCTGATCTGATTAAAGGTTTATCAGAGCGCGTCATCAATGGTTTGCTGGATGATCTTCAGCAAAAAAGGGTGTTTGGCGAAGAGGAGATTGAAGTTATACAGCATAGGATGAAAACACGGGCTGATCAAGCTCGCCATGTGATTGATGATGTGAAGCGAAAAGGAGTCAAAGCAAGTGAAATTATGCTAGCAAGCTTGAAGACCAGAGACCCTCATCTCTACGACACCCTGGGCATTGAAAGATTATTAGTACCAGTTCCTGAGACAGAGCTGACCCCTAGTCAACTATCTGAAACGACAGGCTGTTCTACGGGTAGGCCATAAATTCCACATAAAGTTCACAGATTGTATTTATATATAAGTAAAAAAGTAATATTTTAAATTGATACTATATTTATTGTTGATTTTGTGGCATTTAGGTAACACATTGATCAAATGAAAATAAGTGCTCATACGAAAATTAACCAGGTTTTGCAACAAAGCAAGTTTTTAGTAAAATATAAATGGTTGCCTAGTTCCCAATTCATGTTCCACAAAAAAAAAAAAAAAAAAAAAAATTTAGTATGCTTTTACTTTAACTTTTTAACCACCTGCTCTAATTTAGATTATGTTTTTAAATAAATTGGTCTTACACTTCCCAGCAAGCATTTTTTTTTTTTGTTAACTTTGTTTTTAAAAGATGTCTAAAAGACATCTTAGCATAGTCGTCTTGCCTAAACCAAGGCTTAATTTGGGCAGTCAGTGAAAATTTAATTAAATAAATTTAATAGACATCTAAGAATTTAAAGCTACTAGACTAGTCATCAAAAAAAAAAAAAACAGAAATGAATGAATACACATATAAAGTCTGTCGAATCTGTCAATTTGACGACTAGTCTAGTTTTGGGCTATTTTTAGATGTCTATTAGATTTTCGCTGAGAGCCCAAGTTTATCCCTG